TCCCTCATACAGCACTGCCATTGGCAGTATCACTCCACCCCCTGTTAACAATAGGTGTTAATTAGGTGTGAACGATAGCCATGTGATGTGAGTATGGAGGCAGGACTCAAAAGCCTGAATTTTGCCTGAAACTCTCAGACTAAAGAAGTCTCTTAGAAGAGAGACGAAACGTTTCATTAAAGAAGAACCCGTCCAGAGGACCTATACAATTTTTTTTTTCCTTTTGATTTTTTACCTGGATTACTGGACGAAAACACTTATTATGATCTCATTCTCGCTGGGATCAACACACAAACTCAAATTCACATATAAGTAATATGGGGGGGAAGCTACTTTAAARTCACATTTGGAGCAGTGAGTAGAGTCAATAACATATGCTATAAATACCATCAACCTGTGGATGCCACCAGAGGAGCAAACAACAGGAACTAAACTAAACCACAAGATGGTGCCAAAAATAACTTTCCTTTTTTTGTTTTAATGACAATATCGTATTCAGTCAACTATTCACAGTTTCGGAGTTATGATTAAAATAATGATGATAAAAACAGCTGTCTAAGCAGWAAAGTCTCCTCCAAGTCAGCCCTCAGTGTTCCACCGACACGCAGCTGCTGCCGTCATGATTTCAGATCTGTGTCACTTCATCTGTGCGCGACCTCCCATCATCTGTCACGACTGAGACGTTTTCCCTCGGCTTCTCCTTCCAACTAATGATTTGTGCTCTCTGKTCACAGCTTCCACAAGCGCCGCGCGGTGCAACAATGTGCGCACAGCCATGAGTTCAGACTGGCGCAAGATAAATGCAGGCTAAAGAGTTCAAGCGTTGCACGAATCAAACAGGTTAACCCATAGATGCACCACTTATTTTGCGATGGATAATCGATAAATCAACTTCATCTGCACGAGGAACAAGTGGCACGACTGTCTGACGCGTCAAAGGGGGAAATTAAAACTGTCTTACCTTCGCTGCGTCGTCTTTAAGGTTTCAAATCAAATTTCCTTTACTTTGGTGCGTGCGAGAAAGAACGACAAAAAAAAAAAAAGGCAAAATTCCTCCCCAAGAGAAGCGTATATAACTCTGTGTTCTCCTCCGCACCTTCACCGAGACTCTTCAGGACAGATGGACGGACAGATAAAATGCGTCACCCTTAAGATCAACAGTCGTCCTGTGAAATCTGTTCTTCCTCGGACGATCCAAACATCTCCTGCTCCGCGAGGCAGCAGTCAGCAGAGGTAAAAGAAAAAAAATACATCCGGTAAAAGAAAGAGGGGAGAAAAAAACAATCCCGTTTCACTTCATGATCTCCATGAAGAAATCAGTCCGTTTTTTTTATTAATATTATATAACTGTTACAGTTTTAATCCCACCGTCCCGTTATCGCTCCGACAGCCTGGAAATCTGAAAGGCCTCCTTCTTCTAAAGGTGTACTCTGGCGATGCCGGTGATGCTGCGTAACCCGCATCCCAAAGAAGTGATGGGAGAGCGCAGAAAGAGACAGGGAGAGAGAG